TAAAATAAAATAAAAAAACCCAACTTGTAATATCAGCACCATCAAAGGAATACTACAAATACAGGACTTGGCCAGATTAAAGAGTTTCCCCCATCAATTACCAACCCAAGACAATCTCATCCTGCTCAAAGTGAAGATTATATTAATTACCAAATCAGACAGAAGGTAGTAAGAAGCACCACAAACCATTTGTGCTCTTCAAGAGCCCCCCCCCCAATCTTATCCAAAACACTTAACACCTTAACCTCCAACTCCTGACAGCAAAGAGAACTTTGAATTTATAAAAACTGGCTGCTAGATTGGCAGCTGAAGTAAATTCCTCTATTCACGTGATGCTGTGCAGGAAATTAAAGCATGGGGGAAATTTTAAAATGGCAGGTCATCATTTCTTTCTCTGCACCTTCGCTGAATTGACACAACATGTTGGCTGGACTACAGGAGGGTTGGGGAGATGTTAAGGCAGGGGCTGTGGGACTCCATCCCTTGCCTTTGCAGGTTGTCCTGTTCAGTCTGTGTGTGTATTTGTGTGTGTGAGGGGTTTGGCCCTGCTTTGTGGCAGTAGAAATATTGCGAGGCTGGGTTTTGTATATTGGGTGAACCCAGATGCTAAGCCATGGCTTTGTCAACCGTACCTCAGGCTAACGGGTTGGACACTTATAATAGCGCATTTATGCTCTGGTGTGTAAGAGACTGTTGTTGGGAAGATATTAAGTATGTTTGCTGCCTCAATGGTATATAGACATAACTAGATAGTTGACTATTTATATATGTATACATTTACATACACACACACACATATATATATACAAAAATAGTTGTGTATATATATACACACACACGTCAACTAAATATACTGTATACATTTACATATACATATATATATACAAAAATAGTTGTGTATATATATACACGTCAACTATATATACTGTAACTATTTTTGTACATATATATATATACAAAAATAATTGACTATATACTGTATATATAGTTGACCATATATAGTTGACTCTATGTATATATTGACTAAATATATAAATACTTGACTATACATATGAATAGTTGAATACATAAATGTATCTATATATGTGTGTATACACTGCAGAAACACTGCATTAGACTTTTAACCCACCTTTCATATATATATACACACACACACTCAGATATAGATATGAGTGTGTGTATATAGATATAAATATAAATAAACAGTGGGTGAAAAGTCTAATACAGTGTTCCTCAACCTTGGAAACTTGAGGAAGCGTGGACTTGAACTCCCAGAATTCCCCAGCCAGCCATGCTGGCTGGGGAATTCTGGGAATTGAAGTCCACG